TGCCTAGCACGTGCTCCGTAATATTCCCATACCGGTTCAGTTTAACTTGAGGCCTTGCTGCTTCTTTTGGTTGTTATTATTTTCTGGATTTACAACCTTTTCATCTTTTTAATTTCCACTTGCCCTGATCAGTTTTCTGCTGGATAGCTACAGCCTGTAGGTGCCGCAGGAAAATGACAACAGCACCTTAAGTTAACGCAGCTAGCGCCCGACAACGTGTTAATGAGGTCTACTCACATCTCGTAAAGAATCAAACGTGCTGTACTGTCTTCTAATCTTATAAAACGGTTGTTTTCTTCTTAAAACTGATAAATAAGTTGAACTTACAAAATATATGCTACAAAACTTCCAAAGCTAATGTCAGAAATTTCTAGGCAGCAATCTACTACCTCTGTCCGGAATTAACTGTCACTGAAATGAGTGTTCACCCATTTCAGCTACAGTTAATTCCGGACGGAGGGAATATTTTCTAATGGGAGTATATTTTGGAGTTAAACTCGAGAATTGCTCCTCGTTTGCACTTTGTATTGATTGTTGAAATTTAAAGTATTTCTGTGTTGGTGAATTGACATGCACATCTGATCCAGTGCTAGCTCATATAATGTATGTTGTTTCACATTAGGCAAGTACATAACGATCTTTATAATAGATGTGTGGCCGGTGCTGCACCGGGTGGATGGACAAGAGATACTCCATTATTGCCCGAGAACCAACTGTTTCACATGAATATTTTGTACGGTCTCCATTTATATTTAGGTTGGTCTGACTTAAAAAGGCAAAGAGATGCCATTTTAGTACTAATGGGGGAACTCAGAGATATGTTCTCTCTCGTGGTCATTTGGGTCAGGTTACATTTTATTGCATAATACAAATGCCATATTTAATTATGTGCATAGACAAAAATGCACTTTATGCGCATAGATTTTAAAAAATATGTAGATTTCCATAGATATTTTCCTGCTTAGGACAAAACTTAAATCCTTGAGTCATTTTGGGATCAGCTCGTATGAGAATGTCATATGAGAATGCCACCTGCTTTCATCATATGGAGGGCACTGTATTTTAGCTACTTGGCTTTAGCTGGCAATCTCAATATAGTATAAGCTAGCTACAGTTGAGTTAACCTAGATTAATGATCCTGTGATCTCCTTTTGAGACTGAAGATTTTTTTTGGAAAGCTCACCAAGAGTGAATGATCATTTTTGAATCTTTTAGATTGATTGGTGCATGGAAAGAAAGGTTCCGGAAGATGCATTTGGTTGACTGGCAGCAGAGAGGAGAAGATTACTGGTGAGATGTGCATTGCCCCTAGGAGGGGAGCAGGTTTGCACAAATTAACAAACTAAAAAGACTAGTGATAGAGGACAAGAACGATTCCTTGGTATCAAGACATCCATCTATCCCATCCCGCCTTCTTCACGGACCTCACCCCTTATGTTTCTGCTCAAAATAATCATTTTCGCACTCATATGATCCTGCAGCATGCATTCAGTTATCCTAGAGTTCAAACCCTGTTGCCCTGATCATTTGCTATTGCAAAGTCCCTATCTTTATATGCTTCAGTCACATGAATGATGAGTTCGAAAAAGAAAGGTAGCCTGCTATGATCATTGCATGCAGAAATCTAATCTTGTGTGCTGCTACATACTTTTGCAGCATGTGGCGATTAGGGCATGTACAATGGTGGCATCACTATACTGGTGCCCCATGCTCCACCTAGATAAAAGGTAACTGAAGCTACTGTTTAGTTCTACCTTCATCCAACGGAAGCAGTAGTAGTGTTCTCAGGTTTGGTAGCTTTTTCTCTGTACAAAAAGGTAGCAAGGTACTGTTGAGCTCAGCAATGGTGTTTTCCAACGCTTTCCCATTGGCTGCCTTGCACTTTTTTCACGGGAGAACCAGCCTCCTCTGCAGGATCCCGTCTAGCGCTGCAAGCAGCATCTTTTTCTCAGGTTCAACTATCCAAGCCGACTTGGCAGCTGGGGCACCGGTCCATCCTGGAGCGTTGGCCTTGCCCTTATGCACCAAATAGAAACACATTTACAAGTGCCACTGCGGTCCCATTTCAGTTCGATGTTTTGAACCATGCTGCACAACGGCCCTAGCCCTCCTAGTGAGGCTAAACATGCCTTCCTCCCGGAAACTTGTCATAAACTGTTCAATAGTTTACGTGCCGCGCCTTTTTAGGATGCCATTGTGATGGTAAAGGTGTTTCTAGCCCCCCGGATTTTGATAATAAAGTGCGCTTCGCATGCCGGCTAGAGATTAGTGGAGAACCCTATGACCAATTCTGTGTTAACTGTTAAGCGATAGTTAACCCTAAACCTACTCTTATGAAGATTTAACAGTGTTGAAGCCACTATGTGTTTGTTTAATCATAAAGGTAATTATGCGGTGCGTTGGGGTCACATGCTCTTTTGGCATGCCCAATTGCCTCATTTGTTTTAGGGCACATTGTTAGCATAGGGAGGAAGTGCCATCTTACTACGATTAATTAAGGGCAAGGAAGGATGCTCTCTGGCACATGCCTTCCCTTATGGGGACCAGAAACACATGGGAGCTACATAACTAGAGCCCCCCCTCAAGAGGAACAAGGCTGTGGCCCCCTTCGGAGATCTCTAAGATTAGAGCTTTCTTGCCCATAACATCACCATATTCCCCTTCCCTGGTCCAATTTCCATAGTAAATTACAGGTGCACGACACTAAAGCGACGGTTGAAAGTTGTAGCATGTTAACTGTCAATTATGTTTTCTGCCGTCAGGCAGCTGTATTTTCTACTCGACACTAAAGCGATGGTTGAAAGTTGTAGCATGTTAACTGTCAATTATAATAATGAACTGAAAATAAATGCTCGTGTTAAAAGCACTACTAGTAAAGTTAGCAAGAGGTGAATCGTCTCCGAGATTGATTTCCCCATTTGTGATTTTCAGCATTTCTTGGAAGGAAAAGCGAGTGTTTCCCAAATGACGCTAAGGCCTTAAAAGGAAGATGACAAACAAACATCTGCGGGGGAAAATGTGCAGCTGAGGGGTTGGATGTTGTGCAGGCATGAGTTTTTTCCTTTTGCCCAATCGAGCTTGGCTTTGGGAAGAAGAGAAAGGCGTTTGATGGAGGCAGGTCCGTCCGTCCGTCCGTCCCTCAGGTGGGGAGAAGAGCCTGTGCTCCACCTGGCCAGTGAAGTGGTGGCTGGCTGCCCTGTCAATGCCTTTGCCTTTTTTCACAAAAGAGGTAAAAAGGAGCTGTGCACTTGAAACTTTGATGCTGGCAAGCCTACACGTACCGGGCATTATGGGAGTACCTCCTGTCTGTGGAGCTTGTGAGATGATGCAGCAGCAGCAGCAGCAACAGCAACAGTCAATTTGGGTATAAGTAAATCCTGCTGTGCAATGCAATGCACACTGAGCAGTGGGTGCCCCTTTTTCTTTTTCTGCAGATCAATGATTGGGAGTTTTGAGGCATATGGTAGGTACTTTATGGTTTCTTTTACCCCTTAGGCGGCCGCTGTAGGGCACTAGCTGAGCTTGTGCCCCAGATTGTTTGCAACACAACACAGTTAAGCAGCATGAGTCCAGGAACTGGGATTTGAGAGTGAGCAATATACTACTATGTAGAATTCTGCTGCGGCTGCAAGGCAAAAACATTCCCTGTGCACAAGGACAAGTGTGCCTGTATCATCATATTGGAAGCATGCGTTTGTTTATTAATAATCTCGCCATGGAAACCGGTAAGCAGCAGGTGAGCAGGTTTCTTGTGCTCCATGAAATGAATCTGGTCTGAGCTGTAGTGATCCAGATCCAAAACTAAATTTGAATCATTTTGCAGATCCCAAGAGCCTCGCCTTGGCTGTCCCAAGTACTCCCCCCACAAGCACAAGCACTGGAGTCCAATCCACTCCAGCAGCGGCAGCGGCAAGCAGGGCAGGTGGCCATCTCATCTCATCTCATCCCACCCCATTTCCATGCACCCTCTTGTGTGATGCAAACAATGTTGCAGCCAGCGCAGTCTGACAGAGGAGATGAACAGTTCGCAGGCCCCTCCACCAGGTCCGGTGCGGCAGGCAGCGCCTTTATCGGCCGCTACAGTCCTGGTCCTCGGTCGGCCCGCGATCGCCCGCCCGCCCTTGCCAGTGGTGAGTGACAGCTTGCCCCGGCGCCGTACGGTACATGTCCATGTGTGCTGCGTTGTTTACAGAGGAGGTGTTAGCAATGGAGCTGCTGATGATGCAGCGACGCTGAGCAGAGCAGAGCAGGCGCACACCACCATTGCTATGCCTATGTTATGATCAAATCTATCTTCTACCCTTCGTCTATCTGCTGCTTGATGCTGCTGCTGCTGCTGCTATCTTGGCTGCCGTGCTTGCTCCAACTGTGGCACACCATTTGTTCCCTTGGCAAGGCACTCTTAAATGGCCCGCACCCAGCGGTGCCCATCTCTTCCTTTAATGGCTTCTACTCTGCATCGCGGGAGAAGGACCACAAGAATGACAGAGAAAGCAATCAGAGCGGCACTGTGGCGCCACAATCTTTGCATCATGCATGCATCTCTCATACCTGCCTTTCCTCTCGTACTCTTTTTGCCTCTCCGTTTATCCCCTCGCCCTTGCCAAAGAACAAAAGGAACATGACATGTGTACAATTTGCAATCTTCCATCCATACACACCAAACCCCATCCATCCACCGAGGAAGAAACCATCATCAACCCGAAAAAGACAGAAAAACTTGGGAGACACCAGCTCAAGCTCAAGCCTTCTACACTGTTACTACCTCTCTACTAATCTCTAAGCTGCTGGCAGGCATTATATGTTAGTGCAGTACAGTACAGGGGGGTGGTTCTTGTAGTCATTCTCTTGGTGGCAGCAGAGCTTTGCTCCAGTGATCTCTGCCCTGGATATGACAAAGCAAAGCAGCACACACCATGAGCAGCACATGGTCATTTCGGCCTGTCATTCTGCCAGTCACAATTCGCACTGACAATGTTGTTAGTGAATTCATCATCTTTTCACAGGCGATGATCTGGCGTCTGGGATGATGGGCGGGATCGGAAGATCACGGGCGCGCCGTACTGCGGGTGGAGGAGCATCAGGACCGTCGGCGCGTGGACGTACTTGGGCGACAGCCGGAACTCGAACCGCTGGAGGATGATGGCCACCGTGAGCTTGGCCTCCAGGAGCGCCAGGTTCTGGCCGATGCACATCCGCGCGCCCAGCCCGAAGGGTATGAAGGCCGTCGGGTGCTTGGCCGCCCGCGCCACGCCGTCCGCGAACCGCGCCGGGTTGAACTGGGTCGCGTCCGGCCCCCACAGCCGCGCGTCGTGGTGCACGGCCATGATGGGGATCAGCAGCTCTGTGTCGCGTGGGATGTGATAGCCGCCGAGCACCACGTCGGACTTGGCCCGCCGCACCGTCGCCACCGCCGGAGGGTACAGCCGCAGCGTCTCGTTCAGGATCATGCCGAGCTGTCAGGGGAATCGGCAGCACGCGGTCAGGTCACGCACTACTTTCTGGGAGGAGGCTGGTTTGAAATGATGGTGGAAATGTGCGTGTCAGGGTGCCAGGGAACACGTTGCTTACAGTCTTGAGCTTGGCGAGCTGCTCGCGGCAGGGGATGTCGTGCGCGCCGCAGACTTCGAGGACCTCATGCCGGGCACGCTCCTGCCACTCCGGGTGCATGGCGAGCACCACGGTGGTCCATGTCAGGAGGTTGGACGTCGTCTGCTTGCCGGCGAAGAAGAACGTCTTGCACTCCTCCACGATGTCGTTCACGGTGATGGGGCTGACCGGCTGCCCTCTCCTGCCGCCGTTGCTGCTGGCGTTGATCATGAGGCCGAGGAGGTCCTTGGCGCACCCTTGGAGCCTCTCGTCGTCGGTAGCCTCCTGCCGCCGGCCGATGAGCGTCACCAGGTTCTTCCTGATCTCCTTGTCCAGTTTCCACGAGCTCGTGTTCTTCTTGGTCGGCAAGAACCTGGATGCGTAAGCACACACAAGTTATGTTACTATGCATTACTTAAAAATCAGTGAGCACTCTGTTAAGCACAGTAATTATGGTTAATCAAGTACCTGTATCCAGGGATGAAGACCTTGCGGAATGCCTCGGAGGCGAAGGCCATGAGCTGCGTCTGCAGCTTGAAGACTGCCTTGCCGTCCTCGTAGCTCCGGCCGAAGGCCGTGCGCGTGATGGCGTCCTCTGTCACGATCTGGAACCACTCGGACACGTCGATCTCGACCTCGCCGGACGCGGGGTCGGCCATGGTGACCCACTTCTCCGCCATGTCCACCACCGTCTTCCCGATGAACGGCAGCAGCATCTGCGGCGTCGCCATGCACGTCAGCACCAACCACAACCCGATCGCATCACCGCCATAATGCCAAAGGAGGCAAGGGCAGCAGAGCCAATTTGGTAAAGGAGGGGACCGAGCGACCGACCTTGAGGTTCTCCATGTGGAAGGTGGGCGCGAGCACCCTGCGGTGGTGCGCCCACTTCTCGCCGCGCAGGCTGACGAGCCCCTCCCCCTCGAGCTGCCGCACCATGGGGTGCGACTCGTAGCGGTCGAAGTGCTCGGCGCGCGAGAGGAGGATCTCCCGGATGAGGTCGGGGTCGGCGACGGCGAGCCGCGGCGTCGGGCCGAACCATATGAGGAACGTGGAGCCTGTGAGCAGCAGCAGCAAAATTAAGTGGCCGTGAGCGACAAGCAGGCAAGCAAACAAGGGGATCAATGATTGACGAGGGAGGCCATGTTCCGCCACATCAGCATCCACCAGACCAGGCAGCGCAGCGGGAGAAGACGCTGGCATGGCATGGCATGACACGACATGGGCACAAAAATACAGACATAAATACATACAGCAAGGTTACTGGTACCGCTAATTAAGCTGCAAAAATGCCAATGCGGCATGAACGCACAAGGCACCAGGACAAGACGCTGGCATGGCATGGCATGGCATGGCATGGCATGGGTACATACATGTAAGTAGAAAAACGCAGGCACAAATACATACATACAGCAAGGTGGCAATCAGTTTCTACGACGACTAAGCTGCAAAACTGTGACCCAAGCAAGATGAGTTATAGTCTGAAGAACGACTAGTACTACTATAAGCAAGCAGAGGATGGAGCAGTGGCAGGTGGTGGAAGAACTGGTGAGGGACTGCGACGGGGTGGCACAGCAGTGGATGTGGATGTGGATGGCGTTGCGCAAGGCCATGCGGGAGTAAATGGGAATGGCGACGGATGGGCCGACGGACGGTGGCCGGC